GCATTGTGCCTACATATGCAAATTAACCGCCATCTTAGTTGGCAGTTAATTTGCATATCGCCCTGATTAGCCAATGAAAAGGGTAGCGGTTGTACGCTAATTACCATGTTTCTCTTTTATTAGTGTAGATAAAATGAATTATTTTGGGAACCACAAGTTGTGAATGGCTGACCTTTTGAGGAGCCATCACACTTTGTTCTCAAGACCACCAGTTAAAAAAATCCAACTATAGCCCTATCCGGTTTGGCTCAATGGATAGAGCGTCGGCCTGCAGACTGAAGGGTCCCGGGTTCGATTCCTGTCAAGGGCACATACCCAGGTTGCGGGCTCAATACCCAGTAGGGGGCGTGCAGGAGGCAGCCAATCAGTGATTCTCTCTCATCATTGATGTTTCTCTCTCTCCCTCTCCCTTCCTCTCTCTGAAAAAATATATTTAAAAAACAACAACAAAAAAACCCCAACTATAGTAGAAAAATAAAAATTGCTTTAAGAGGAACATATAGAAAGTTTATGACAATACTAGAGAAGAAGGCTCTCTGTCCATGTGGTTAAGAGTATGGCCAGGTGGCTCAGTTGGTTGGGCATTGTCCTGTACACCAAAAGGCTACGGGTTTGATTCCTAGCCAGGGTACATAGCTAGGTTACGAGTTCAATCCCCAGTTGGGGCGTGTACAGGAAACAAATGATCGATGTCTCTCTCTCTTTCCCTCCCTCCCTCCTTTCCTCCCTTCCTCCCTCCCTCTCTCTCTAAAAAGAAAAAAAAACTGTAAGAAAATATCCTCAGGTGAGGGGTTAAAAAAAAAGATTGTGAAGGTTAGGGAAGTCTTTACAGAAGAAGAGTTTGAGACAAGAATTTGCTATGAACAACCAGTGCAGAGGACACTGAGTTCTTGAGTATTCCTGGGAAATAAGTACGAAGGGGGAGTTGTAAGAAATGAGGTTGGACGAGAAATCAGAAACCATATGTCATCTAGGTCTTTGTCTCTCCTTGTAGGAGATCAGGAAGCATGAGAAAATTTGGAGCAGAGGAATGAGATGATCATATTACCAGTTAGAAAAGCCCTCTGGCAGCAGTGTGGATGAGAGACTGACTGGAGGGTTTTGTGGCTCGGTGAGGAAAGTTGGTAGAGACTGCTGCAGTTGTCAGGCACAAAGTGAGGGTCTGATCTGGAAAATGGCAGTGGAGCTAGAAAAGGGAGGGAGATGGGAATATTTAGGAGGTAAAATGGGCTTGGGAATGGATGCCAAGGGAAAGAGGTGGAAGGATTAGCAATAGAGAGAATAGGGAGAATGCAGTGGATTTCATGGTGGGATGGGGTGGAAATGACAAATTTGGTTTTGGACATACTGCGTTTGGAGTGCTTATGGGACCTCTAAGTGGAGCTATCCATTAAATAGTTAACATATGGAGAGAGGTCTGGGCCTGACATAATGATTTAAGAATTGTTGGAGTATAAATGGGTATGGGTTAGTTCTGCCCAGAACGAGTTTTGAGAGTAAGGATGAAGCCAACAGCTGAGCATTGAGAGCTTATAACGTTTGAGGAGCAGGTAGAGGAAAAGGAGGCATAGAGAGTGACCCGAGACATCAAGGTGAAGCAGGAGATGATGGAAACACAAAACCTGAGGGAGGGGAGAATTCAAGATGGAAAGACTATTCATTGTAAAGAGGTCACGGAGTGTCTGGGTTGAAAAATGCCTTGGAGTTGGACAACACTAGGAAGTTTTTGGTAAGG